CATATTACTAACTACAAAGTACATTACAAAGCCACATCTCATATTAGCAACCAAATTCATCTAGCCAATCAACTTAGCAATCCTGTCTGTCTATCCCCTCTACTGATTTCATTTATGCATAAAATAAAAGTGAAGGCTTTACCTTGGGAGTATCGATCAAGGAACACTTGGATTCAACTCAAGCAAGTTTCATGCATTCTCATTCTGGTTTCTTTTCTCCCTATATCTCCCTTCTCTGAATCCCAAATTTTCTTTTTCTTTTATATCAATCCCAATGAACAACAAATGTTCATTTTATTGATCTTTCTACTTTTTGTAGTCTTTTCTGACAAAGTGTAGGCGAATAGTGGGGTCATGGGTAATGTACCTCTCCCTCGCTTCCACAATGTGATCATTCCTTTGAATTAGAATAGTGGGGTCATGGGTAATGTACCTCTCCCTCTGCCTCTCAGGAAATCATCTCAATCTTTATTTTTCTCTTTTAGGGATGCCAAAGGAAGCAGAGAAGGAAACCAAATTTATCAAGACTTTTACCTTCTAGACTTGCAGGAGGATTCCGATCCCTTTTATACCAAGCCCTAAGACAAGAAATAGATGTTAGGTTAGGTTGGAAATCAGCTTTGGTTCTTCCAAACAATCATGAAAAGTGTTGTCATAGGTGACCGGTGATCCACTTTAGCATCTATAGTACTTTCTGCAATCAACAATTCTAAGAATGGTGCTAAAGACTGGTTAGATAAAAAGTAAAATTTTGAAATATTGGTCCCCTTCTTGACTCAACAAAACCAATTTTGAAAACATTAAATGAGATCAAAAAGGTAAAGTAGCATCAGTAATCTCCACTCCCCCAGACTTACATCATACACTGTCCTCAGTGTATAACCAGTCAGAGTTAGGGCATAAATAATGTATAATTGATATCAAAAATTGTGAACGATATACCTGACCAGAATTCGTATCGATCGATGGTGAGTCACCTTCATCGATCGTCATGGATAGGTCTGTGTCGATCGATGTCGACAGGATCTTACCGATCGATAGAGGTAGTGATCGTGTAGCATTTCTTCTGAAAGAAATAAAACAAAAGTAATAAGTAAAAATAAAATAAAACTAAGGAAGAAAATACCTAATAGTGGGTTGCCTCCCACTCAGCGCTTAGTTAAAGTCATTTAGCTTGACTATGGAGGTATGGTGGCTAGTGAGGTGAATTGCAGGTACTTTCTGGGAAACAAGTATCCTCCTTGTCTTGTGATTCTTCAAACCATGAAGTTAAGAAGCTTCTTGTGGCTTTCTCGCTTCTGGTCATACTAGCTTTCAACCCTTGGACCTCATAGTGGATTCTCTGTAGCCACTCCTCAATGCTCGCAATGCTGAACTCATGTTGTCCAAGCTTGTTGTAGGTGTTTTCTAGATCAATACTCAGCTGCATTGTGTCGAGGTGATGGATGTTTTGCATACGGGTAGAGGGATTATTAACCGGTCCTTGTGGGTCTGTATCGGTCGATTTGAAAGGAGGTCTATCGGTCGATGGGCTGAGTGGCACGTCGATCGATGCGGATGGTGCAGGTCGGTTCGCGAGCTGTCTCTGAATGTTTTCTATCTCTTTCTGAATTCCTTATGTTGTGCATTCCAATCTTTGAACATCACTCTGTACTGGGAACCACATCTTGTCGAGTAATCTGTATGCTTCAACACCACAGGCTTCAATAGCTTTGTAGATATCTCTTGTGATGTCCTCAATTTCTCCTTTGGTACAGAACTCTGGTGCTTGAATATCGGTCGATGTACACAGCAATGTCAAGCACAAGTCGCAGTGTTGACGCTTTGACGACGGGACTAAAAGTTTCTGTGTAGTCGCGACCATATTCTTGTTTGTACCCCTTTGCAACCAGACGAGATTTGCAGCATCGGGGAGTGCCATCTGAGTTAAATTTATTCTTGTATATCCATCTGCAGCCAATGACATTGATGCCTAGCTTCCTTGGAACCAGATTATATGTGCCATTCCATGCAATCAATCTCAGAGGACATAGAGCCGCGCCAACGCTTGTCTCTGAGTGCTTGAGCTAGCGTGTTTGGTTCAGCAGGGACAATAGAGGACATGGCCGCAGAGTAGTTGTATTTGGAGTTCGGCTTGGTTATGTTGTTCTTTCGTCGTGTGAGCATTGGGTGAGCATTGGGTGATAATTCGGAGGTTGAGCAGGAGCTGGAGGCGGTACGCTTGGAGCCGGTGATGGTGGAGGTGAAGGTTGATCTGAAGCCGAAGATGGTCCTGAAGAAGCATCAGGTGTGACCGGAACAGAATGGTGGGAGCTGGATGAATGCTCTGCACTCACAGTGGTATCGTTAGTATAACTAAGAAAAGTCAAAGAAGAATTTACCTGTCCTGGCGGAGAAGGAGCTGGGCTCGGGATCCCCGGTTGTTGCACGAGTGGTTGGATTTGGTTTGGAGGGAGGGTGTTGGGGATGGTTTATGGATGGGTATAGTTGTAACAAGAGGAAATGTTAATGCAGAGGGAGTTGGTGTGTCAGAGGCTGGTTGTTGAGAGGAATTGGCATTCTTGAATGGGAACACAGACTCGTCAAAGCGCACATGTCTTGAGACATAAATTCGACCAGTGTGTGGTTGTAGACAAAGATATGCACTTCGTGTTGGGGAGTATCCAAAGAAAACACATGGTGTGGATCTGTCTTCAAGTTTATGAGAGGTGTAAACACCCTGAGCTTGTTGTAGTTAGGTTGAGTTCCAAAGAGCTTGTTGAATGGCGAGGTCATATAAATAACTTGAGTAGGTTGGCGGTTGATCAAGTAAGTGGCAGTGGAGAATGCATATGACCAGTATGACTTTGGCATTGAGACATGCGTCAATAGTGTAAGGCCGGTCTCTACGACATGTCGATGGTTCCTCTCTGAGATGCCATTATGTTCTGGTGTGTGGTGGGGAGGTGAGGTGGGAGATACCAGCGTCTGCAAGGAGTTGACGAAGAGCTAAAAATTCGCCACCGTTGTCGGAAAATAATGTACCAATCTTCAGGGAAAAGTGATTCTCGACGAGAGCTTTGAATGTCTTGAATATTTCTTTGACTTGTGACTTGAATTTCAGAGGGTACAACCAAGTGTAGCGGCTGTAGTGATCTACAAGTACGAGATAATACTTGTACTTATCAACTGAGACAACTGGTGAGCTCCAGAGATCGGTAAATATGTATTGTAAGGGTCGGGAAGAAGAGATGGCTGTTTGGTGGAAAGGTAGTTTGTGAGTTTTATTGATAGTACAATCTGAGCACAAAGTGTTTGGGGTTACAGATTGAGAGCATGGTAAAGAAAACTTTGAAATAAGAGATATAAGAATAGAAGCTGATGGATGGCCAAGACGAAAATGCCAGTCTGACATCGTTATGTGAGGTTTTGAAGAGGCGAAAAAAGACTCAAGGGTGGATGGTTTGGCTGGCCACTCGTACAGCTCATCCTTGGTCTTGCCTTGGATTATCGGGATTCCCGAGCAGAGATCCTTTACCTGAAAGGAAGCAGGGAAAAATTCAACCGAAACTTTGTTAGTATTACATAGACGATAAACCGAAATAAGGTTCTTTTTAATGTTTGGAACACAAAGAACACCATTTAATCTTAAGTTGCGTGAAGAGGAGGGCAGAGAAACGGAACAGGTGTGAGTGATAGATAAACCTGATCCATCGACAATGAGAACTGAATCATCACCGAGGTATAGCTGGTGCAAAGTCATGTTGTGAAGATCGCTCATTAGATGATGCGTTGCGCCTGAGTCCATGAGCCAAGAGTTGGTAGGATGTTGAGCTGCAACAGCGATATTGGCTTGTGGTTGCCAAGGGCGGAATGGTGATGCTGCAGAGTTGGTGTATTGCTGAGGCATCTGAGGACAACGTCAAGCACTGTGACCAAAGATGCCACATATCTGACATTTACCCTGATATCCTTTGGTAGGACGAGCATCTTGTTTCGGCAAGGAGAGGCTGTTTGACTTGTAGTTGTGGTTCCAGTTGGAGTTGTTACCTCATGAGTTCTGTGACTTGTGTTGTTTCGGACGCACTGAAGCTACATTAGCGGTTATTGGAATGGGGTTCGAGGTCGGAGCAGAGACAGCAAGGAGTTTGGCTTCCTTGTTTATCAACTTCTCATGTATCTCGATGATGGATGGGGTGGTGTCACGTCCCTCGATCTGTTCCACAACGGACTTGTACTCCTCTGGAAGAGCATCGATGATGTACTTAATCTTGTCTTCATGCTCCAGAGGTTTTCCTAACAGTCCAAGCTGATCGAAACGAGTCGTCAGACCCCCATGTAGTCATCGATGCTTTTGTCGCCTTTGGTGAAGTGTTTTAGTTGGAGAAGAAGCTGCTGGATGCGTCCACGACTTGGAGTTGCGTACGTAGCACTGAGTGATTTCCATACCTCGCGAGAGGTTTTGGTGTTTGTGACCAGCGCCTGAATGGATGGGGAGAGAGTACCAATAAGACCGCTGTAGATCAATCTATCTTGACGCCGCCATTTGGTGAACTCTGTATTGACAGTAGGTGTGCCGTCGACGGTGAGTGATTCATCCGGTGTGGGTGTTGTGTCATCGATGTGTCCAGCCAAGTCGTAGCCATCGAGCAAGGCATGGATTTGTAAGCTCCACGTCATGTAGTTTGTGGAGGTGAGTTTCGTAATGTTGACCATGTTGATATTCAACAGAGTTTTGGTCAATTTCTTCAGCGTTGGGGTTAGCCATGGAAGTGAGTGAGTTGCAGAGATAAGAGAAGGGAGGAAGGAGATGAAGGCAGAGGCAGCTTAAAAAAAAAATTTAGGGTTATCGTATGGCTCTTGATACCATATAAGGAATGTGTTTACTTATATTCACAATGACAATGATCGATAGAATATATACAGACTCTAGATTAGGGGACTAAGTCAAATTTAATCAAATATTCCTAAAACAGAGGATTCAGTATATACGATAGTAAATACGAGATCGTCTTCGTATATTAGCTTACATTGTATTGGTTACTGGATAAGTTGAGACTTTGGACATCTTCAAAAGGATGCAGCAAAGAAAGATTTAGGAGAATATTCTCTTTAAGCTTCAATCCACCAAAGGCAATCTCGGTGACTCGTCCGCTGATACCACTGCACTTAAGGCCCTCCCAAAGGCAGCAATCGCTCTTTGTGTCATTACTCCAAGTAGGGAGAACAGAGTTTGATTCCTCTTGTATACTCTGTGAGATCAAGTACTTCTTGAGCTCCAACAAAGCGTTCCTATCTTTCTCAATACAGCTTTCGTATCCATGTAGCTGTCCCATCAGTAGCATCAATGCATCACCCATATCAGGTTTTGGCACAAACATATTTTCACTTCCATAGCAAAAAAATATTATAAAGTAAAAATAAAAGAAGCGATAAGAAACTGAAACACAATGTGGTAATGTGAATTTTATAAGAATATAAATGACCTCCACATTTATAAGAATTTTAAAGTCCTCAATGAAACACAAAGTTCAACGATGAATACACTTAAAAGTCGTGTGATCAACATTGGTTAGTTTGACTCTTTATGATGTTAAAACTCGTTTCGCCTTCAACTTCTAACCTTTGAATAAAAATAATGAAACTTCTCAATGATTTTTTGGTTGAAATGCCAACGAAGATTTATTTATATTATTATAGAGAACAACCGCCAAGCTTAACTGAATAACGGTCTCGTAATCGCTGATGTGGCTCTATTGGATTGGTTCCGTAGGGGTTGACACTTGAAAGCAACCAGAAATAAACGCTGTCGTTTTATTGGCACTAGTTTTGCCTTACGAGAAGTGGTCAGCATTCTTTTACTTGGACCAAGCTTTAGTATCATGACAGTGACTGTTCACCAAATAGAAGGATCTATTGATTTGAAAAAAATGTTTTCCTCTCACAAACTAACCACAAACAAGTTCCAAAAGATCTTGAAAGCATTGCGTCTATTCAATGACAGAGCAGTTGACAAAAAGAACAAAAATTCAATGACAGACAGCATATGAGAACTAAACACATTAATTAGTTGTGAGAAAGATTGAGAGCATAAGGTTCTAGAAGACCTCGTAGCTCTATTAGAACCGCAGAAATATAAACTGATCAAATCTTAATTTATAAAATCTGAGTCCAACAAGTATAAGAATGGATTATAAATTTGATTAAATCTAAGAAAAGATGGATCACCAATGAATAGGTTTACGCACTTATGCTAGTTACAAAAGGGAAATCACATGTTTAATGTTGTTAATCTGAAGAAACAGAGCTGTGTGTGATTTTGTGACAACAAGGAAAGGAAAGATGCTGTGGTTGAATTCATTTGAAGTGAACTTTAGAATCTCTAGGTTTCTTAATCTCTTAGGCTATGATAACCTGCAAGAACACCTTTCACTCCACTGCAAAATTAGTAAAACAAAAACACGCTTTAACGTTTAATCTCCTGTCACCTGTCCAGAGAATCGCCGGTCACTGCTATGGCTGTCATGGAGAACATCAAACACAGAGGAAAGCGGAATATTAAGACAGCTATTAGGAAACAATAAATGATCATCAACCATGTCGTTATACTTCTAGTTATCTATATAATAAATGGAAGCATGTTATCAAATTCATCAAACAGGAGAAAAACTGAAACTGTTACTCATTAATACACAATGTAAAACGCAGAATAGCCATACTTGTTTAAACTTCAAGACATCAAGTATACAACACTAATCCAGAAGAAAACATGTTGAGCTTGGCTTCTAGATTTCAATCCAATATACTTACAAGTATTTAAAAGACAGACAAGACAATACACAAGATGACAGAACCAAACACAAGTTATGTTTCGCTTTTGTGACATAAAACAAAAGCTTATTTTGTGAAAAAGAACAAAAGATGAAAGGATTTTGGAACCAACCGTAGTTTACGATCAAAAGTTCCTCACCTTGTGGATGAAAGCATCAACCATGTTGAACCAAGCTCTGCTCCAAGAAGAATCAAAAGAGAGTGATGCAAGTATCCCTAGAAGTATTGTCACATAAGCTACAGTGAGACTCCAGTAGAAAGATACGATGTCACTTGTGGATTCAACAGATTCCACTTCATTATCGCCCGGGTATTGAAAGTTATTGCCATCACTACTTACGTTGGTTGGTTTCCCACAGAGAAGAGGATTACCTAAGTAACTTCGAATGTCAAAGGTATTAGACTGTCTTCCCTGTGGAATGACTCCTGATAAGTTGTTGTATGAAACATTGAACACAGCTAGGCTGCTCAGCACTGCTAGTACTCGTGGGATCTCTCCTTGTAACCTGTTGAAAGACAGATCAAGGCTTTCTAAACTCTTCAGACCTGAAAAGCTTTTTTGTATCCCTCCTGATAACTTGTTATGAGAAAGATTGAGAGCATGTAGTTCCAGAAGACCTCCAAGCTTAGTTGGGATCTCACCGCTTAGCTTATTCTGTGAAAGATCCAATCCAGCAAGGTCTAAGAGGTTTCTACCCGCATAAGCATCATATCGGTGTTTTGTTGCGAATTCAATTTTTGTCTGTCCACCTGCAGCATAATTCTGACCAAATTTATCTAGCACAAGCAGAAAACTGAAATAAACACCAAGACTATTTGTGTTTGCCATCCTAGAAGGAATGAAGCTCTCAGGGTAGGAGAGACCAATGAAGAAATCATAAGCATCTGATCTATACACTTCTTCCAAACCAAATGATAAATTGCCAAGACATGGAGATATAGAGCCTTTTAAAACATTGTTAGCAAGATCGAGAAGGTGGATATCTTTTAGAGCACACAACCCATGAGGAATACCACCTGTTAAATTATTCCCCCGCAGAAAAATTGAATACGGATGTTATGAGCGTTGGTGAAGTCCGGGATATTCCCAGACAATCTGTTATTTCTAAGATCAAGTATAGTGACATTCACTAGCAGTGTGTCTGGAAAAGATAAAGCAGGAAATGTTAAAGATTGTGAAAATGAGTAGTTATCGAAAAGTTATTTTGGCAAAATTTAAACTAAAGTAATTGAAGAAACGTAATTTACTAGTTTCAAGATAATGTAGGAGGGAACAGCACAAACGAACTTAAAGTAAACGAAGCAAAATTAGCCCAAGCATTTAAAAATACATATCAAACTGAGATCAATTTATTTTCCACGCAATAATATGTAGAGGGGTGCAACAAGTTTATGCTTCTTGTGTATCCGGCAGTGACTGAGAGAACGGCTTCTGAGACAGTGGCTTAAGCTGCGAATGTTGTGGCTGCGGTTGCGCCGTTCGTGGTGAATATTGTTGATATCCATGTGATTGATATTGAGGCGACATATATACTGGTACAAGGCCGTTACTCGGCCCAGCATTTGTACCTTGTTGAACAGTCACATAACTTGGGGTCAACTGTATTGGATCTGATGACGCGTATGAATGAGGCGAAACCGGTAGATACATGATATATGGTTGGGATGTTGTAGATGGCGTCTGAACCGTTGAAACCCTAAGTTGTTCCGCGAGAAACCTATACGTGAAGCTCACGACACCTTTTTTACCGTAAGGACCGGTCAAAGCGTGCGTCTCCAACTTCATACCGTTAACATCACCATTGGCTGGAGGATTTGAGCCTAACAGTTGTTTCATCGGAAGTCTTACGAATCCGATTTCTTTATCACCAAGGAAAGGCCTGTGGCTCATCAGTTCCACGAGGAGCATCAAACGCCCTTCTTGAGCTACCTTCTCATCGAGTGAAAACTTAATCGTCTGGTTCCATTTAGGATTTGTATTTGCGGAGAAAGCGACAGGGGTATTGATCCTGTCCTTGACTTTCCTGTCTTTAAGGATCGCAACTGAAGCATATACGTCCATAGCTGAGAAGGCGTTGACATCTTCAATGTCTTTGGCAAACTTGATCACAATCTCTAGGATCAGTTTAGTCGTGGTGGTTTGAAACCGAGGGGAAAATACAACAGGCTGACCTGATATGGCTGGTTCCGGGTTTGGATAAACGGGTTGGCCAATCGATAGGGAATGATCCTGAGGTACAGGAGGATACGAATCATCAACCGGAAGTGGTTTAAACCGGTACAAAAGGCACAACCTTGCGTTGGTACTTCCTCCATCTGTGACTTGTATAGGGCAAGTTATAGACTTCATCTTATTGACGTTACCGTTAGCAGACGGCGGAAGTGGATTTGAGACAAAAAGCTCTTGAACCGAGATGTTCACATCTCCTAGATATAGGTCATCCTTCCGTTCGAGCAAATAGCTAAATAACTCGATCTTGAGGGTTAACCGGCCTTCACGGGCTGCTTCTTCGTTGCACGGAAACTTAACGGTGTGGTTCCACGTCGGATTAAAACCACCGTCGTAGTCAATGGGTGTTTTGGCCGTTTGTGTCTTGTAAGTACCTTCGCCGTGAATTGAAACGACGGCGTACACGTCCATCTTGTCGGTGGCATCGACATGGCTGAGGTCACTGGCTGATATAATTTTGAGCTCAAGAACTGGGTTCTCTATGGCTCTTTGCAACTCTGAGGAAGCCATTTTTGAATGTCTTGTCTTGTACTATCTTAACAAATGTGAAATAAGATATATACAGGTTGCGTGTGGACATCTTCTATAAGTAAAATGTTTATAAAACTATAGAAAGATAACATGGATGGCATATCTCAAGTCAACGTTAGTTTAATATACACCAAACTATAGAAAGATAGACGTTGACAAAAAGAAAAAAAAAAAAAAAAAAAAGATAGACACTATGTGCATGTTGTATGCTTGTAGGATACATATATCACGCACAGAAATTCTTGTCAAATTAACACTTGTATCAACACTGCTCCACATGACAAACAAAGAGTCTGGATAAAATATCTCACTCCCACCACTTAGTAATTAACGGTAACTAAATAAAATGAAGCTCTCTTCTTGCAAAAGAGTTCAACAAATGTGTCAAAAAACATATAGATGTGCCAAGAAGATATATGTATCTCAAATATGTGTATGTTTAAACAATTTTTCTGAGAAAGATAGTGAACATGTCTATGTTCGAGTGCTGTCCCACTAGCACAATTCATACAACACAAACAACTATGTATAAGACTTGGTATTTATTTGGGATATTCTATATATAAGAGAACGAGAACTTAAAATAAACACATCTTTCTTTATTCTTTGTTTTTTCCATTATCAGATGTTAATATTACTGAACGAGGCAAAAGAATTTTAGGTTGTAAAGGACCTTATATTAGTGAAAACATTACAATTTTGATAGTGTGTTGTTGCTTGACAGTCGTGAATGGATGGGTATGGCCTACAAAATCATTTCCCATGCAGCCTTTTATTAAGCTCTGCCTGGAGTACATAGATGATGATTGATGATATGCTGTTCGTTCAAGGAGTCTAGCCGCATATGTGTGATTTTGTAGCTAGTGGAAAACAGAGGCCTAAGATGTGGGGAAAGTTACATGTTCTAGACGAGATCAAATTCATAAAGAGTGAGTATGTTGAAATTCATACCGGTTTATAACGATTTATAAAACAAAATATGAATTCTATTTGCTTAGATCTCATGCAAATACTGAAATAAATTTAGATCTTAAGGTTTCGGATATACCTGGTTATTCGCAGCGGAAAAATGAATATATATACCAGATCGAGATTTCAAGCACTGCAAACGTCGTGCCTCTACCGATATCCATACGCACACAAACTAGATCACTACGGGATGCTAGTGCCGTCAAGATCAAATCTCAAAAGAAACTATTTTGTCTTTTACGTTACTAAGTTATGAGGCTACACATCTCCCCATATGTCTCACGTACTCATTATATATGAGTTTACCAAACCATAAGACAATTAGGTTTAGTTAATATAACTTATGGGCCAAGCCCAATAATTATTTAACTAACAAAACGTGTATGGTTACATCATATGTAACATATAATTAAGTTAATAATACCACATAGATATAACAAGTTTATATCATTATTTCTGAACTCAAAGTATTGTTGATCTAGTTTGATTAGGTGTGTGACCCTGTAGGATCATATAATATTAACAATGAATTCTTAATTCATAGATTATAAGCGGTTTCTAGCAAAACATTATAATCGCCTAATATTATATGATTGTCAAACTTCGATTCTATGACTTCTACGAGTAAGTACAAATGATTTTAGGACATTCCCAAGAGAGTATTCTCATGTGAATAATTTCACTATTCGAATTTATATACGTTTGTGTTATTTTGTAGGATAACTTCTATTACTGAAATCCTAAACATCTTTTTTATATTATCTATGATGGAACGAGAATATCATGTTAAAGTATTCGTTGATTATCCAAAGAACTAAAAGTTTCCAGAGTGAATAAGCCTTCGAAAGCTGCATCCTCGTTGATGGATAACTAAATATTGTCTCCCTTAGAGGCAAGAGCTTCAAAGAGGCAGAGAGAAGAATCCAACATTAAGATGGCTGACGTCAATGACTTATACTCTTAGCTCGAGGGTTGGATTCTATTACTTGCCTCTTTACAGCTCTAAGGGAGACATTTACGGAGAGTAGTAGAGTCTTGACCTGGCCAATAGTAACAGATAAAGGTATTATTATAAAGCTACGAACGCAGGACACAACTAGAAACCAAAGTCAACTTATGAACTACACACGCACGTATATATTACGTTGCACGATCACAATATCACAACCTAGAATATTAAATAGAATCCCATCGTAAAAAAATGACAAGTCATGGAATCAACTATGTGAGGTATCTATCTCCTGAAATAGAGATATTCATGGATCATACCGTTTCCTCAAATCTGGATAGATAGCTCTCATATACATACTTCTTAAACGCTGCAGATCATTTTCGCCTCTCTCCAGTACTCACACAACTTAGACAGACCGAATTACAAAGTTTGTGATGCCCATTGCTTTAGAATCTAAGAAAATGGAATTTGACTGACGGAACTTTTCCTAGACAATATGAATCTGATTCATTGTTCAAGATCTGGAATCCATGAAATAGTTTGGTTAAATCATGGCTTTTATAGGCATGTTGTTGTTAATCAGGAAATATATGATATCATATAGTATTTCAATGATGCTTCTAAGATTTTGTTAGATCTATTCAAAAGATTTCAAATTAGGAACGTACGTAGAATCTATCAACTAGACAACTAGACCAAGAAAACTTAGAATCTATATCAATGATTTAACGGAGCCATCAGGCATCAGCCTCTTATACAAAGATGAAGACTATCGGCAGAACTTTGCAAGTACCACTGTAATTGTAAGTTTGGAAAGGTTAATGAACTCTGGGACAAAGCATAAACAACTAGAACCATATAATTTCGTATGGGGGTAAATATAATGCGGATATTTGTGTGAAATTATGAACAATAAGCATTACCCCAATATTAGATCCAGATAAAACATGTTACACAAGGATCAAAGTAAAAAAAAAATGTTTGATCTACGGCTAAAGGATATGTGCTTCCAGTGGAAACTAAAATTCAGTTCATACTTCTCACTATGATGGAAGTATATCTGTAATCCCATCAAAGGCCTCATCATGTTTGTATCCACTATATGTGGAGTAGCAGGTCATCCCAAAGACTGTTGTTACAAACTTTATGGGTTTTCCCTTCGAGTGACATGAAAAAGAAATGTGTATTCTCCTCAAACGGTTATGTCAGCTCATGCTCTAAAACCTACTCTAAAAACTCATTTTCAAGTAATCCAAAACCTTGGTTGTGGATCAAATATACTGAATGGTAATAGCTGCTTCTACTTATAGATCTGATTCCCATAACACTTAATGGCTTTTATGTGGAATACCTCACGGACGTTTCCCTATGCTCAGATTCCCAATTGAATTTTTTCTGAAAACACACATAATCAGTATAGAAATATAAAACAAAACAAACTTAAAATATTTTTTGAGAGACTAAACTTGACTAAACGACAACTCGCAATTGGGGCCTAGAAAACTTACCGTAGGTCAGATACGTTGCGGAGCATAGAATACATCACCCGGTTAATGCTTTGCTAATGCATTGTTCGGTTTGTTGAACTTTTTTTAAAAAGGATACTATGTTATAAAATACAATGAAAATAATAAAAGGGATAAAACTAACCATGTAGAGTGGAGTCGGCTTTGCATTATGAGCTGGAAGCGCTGCGGTGGGCAATGGAGAATATGCTTTAACATTCGCCATGTCAGAGTTTTGGGATGGACTGCAAGGAATTGTTAGCAATGCTCACGGATCCCCATAGATGACCAAGCTTTTCGACGGAACTGGAGAGGATCTCGACGCTGAGGATTTGTTTCCCAGATATCAAGATCTCTTATGTACCTAGATCTCTAAATGATGTGTCTGATCATTTAGCCAAGACTGTCCGATCATTTTATCGTGATTTTATGTATGTCGGTTGTTCTATTCCGGTCTGGATTCCTAGACCACCTCAAGCTTGAATAAAAGATCAGCCTTTTGTTGTCAAAAAAAAAAAAAATGTGTCCCTGCTCGCCAAACAAGCTCGACTTCGTGGCACGGAACGGCATAGTCTAGCGGGAGTGTCATCAGACCTATGAAAGAATTTAGCAATTATTAGACAAAATATCTTGAAATTATTTATATATAAATAATACAAGTAACAAAACAATTGAGAAATGATGTTAAAATATATATATATATATATATATATATATATATAATAAATACGTTATTATAGTATAAAGTTTATAATATACATATATGTATATTAAAAACATTTTTATATAATAATTTTAAAAGTGTTTTTATATTTAATAACAACTTCTTATTTTTAAATAATTTCTTAAAAGTTAATATATATCTAATAAAAAACGTTTTTATATAAAATAATTTTAAATCCTTTATATATATATATAACTAAAATCGCTTACATATATATAATTATAAAAAAATACTTGTAGAAATCATATGTAAATATATAAAAATCTTTAAACGCTTTTAAATATAAATATTTGTTCCTTTTTGTAATTATAAATATTTAAACGTTTTTAAATATATAAAACATTTGTAATAATTTTCAAACACCAAAAAAATTTTATAAAATAATTTAAACTTTTCATATTTCATAAAAATAAATTAAAATAAAAAACCACAAAATCACAATCAAACCATAACCACAACCTAACTACAAAATATACAATATAATTCCTAAAACTATTCATCCTATCCAAAATCTAAAAACCGCAAATCTAATATCCAAAACCTAAATAAATCAACTTTAAATAAGGTATACATGGCTTACATGATTGTGAAAGAGATATGGGAGGTTGGGGTTGAGAATCGCGGGAGTAGAGAGACGGAGAATCAAAAAGATTTTAGAGTGAGGGAGAGAGGAAAATGAGGAAGAAGAAAGAAGGTGTTATATTTTTTTAAAAAAAACTGACAGAAATAAAGACGTCGGAAATTCGTCAGATTTTAGCGGTTTGCAAAACATTTTGGCCATTCGTTTTCCTAGGTAAGTGAAAATTTCTAACGACGTCGTTCCTTTCTG